GTTCGCTATCAGTACGTTGAAGTGCGGGATGCTTTGATAGAACTGAATGAGAAAACGAACGACCCTAAGACAGCGAGTGAGGCTCATTCCTTAGTCAACCAGATGGAAGACTTTTCTTTCATAGTATGCTTACTACTATGGCATGATTTGCTGTTTGAAATAAATATCATAAGTAAAAGTCTTGAAGGGAAATTCAAAGGCGTCAGTGATGCTGTCAGTAAGTTCAATAATTGCTTGGACTTCTTAGACAAATTTAGAGAAGATGGATACACTAATGCAGCAATTTCCGCAAAGGAAATTGCTGAAGAACTAGAAATACAACCAGTCTTCCCTGAAACCAGAATTCGCAAGAAGGAACGTCTCTTTTTGTACGAAAGTGCGAACAACGAAGTGCAAACATCTGCAGAAGATACATTCAAGAGGGAGGTATTTTATTCATTGGTTGATACAGTTATAACATCAGTTAAAGGTAGGTCCACTGCACTTTATAATCATAACTCGCAGTGGGTTTTTTTGTATAACTTGGCCAATCTTCCACCAAAAGATGATTTGAAACAAAGTTGTTTGCAATAATTAGAAACACTCTTAAGAAATACTGACGGAGTATCAGATATCAACGGGAATGAACTTTTTTGTGAACTACAACACGTGAACTCCATCTTGGATATCAATGAACCCCAACTTCAGCAAGTTCGACCAATTGACGTGTTGCGAGCAATTAAGAAAACGGACAGCAAAGATTTATTTATAAATCTCTGGATTGCACTAAGAGTTTTGTTAACCACACCAGTGTCAGTTGCGAGTGCTTCAGTAAGCTGAAACTTATCAAGACATATTTAAGATCATCCATGCCACAGGAGAGACTAAACTCTCTTGCCATCATGTCAAATGAAAACGATGAAGCTAGGAAAATAGACTTCAAAGACATTCTCAAGACATTTGCTCCTGCAAAATCCAGGCGAATGCCATTTAATGTTTAGGTTAGGGACTAGGGTCTTATTTCAGATTTCTAAATGTAATAACAAGGTTTTATTTTATTCCGTCATTCTGTATATTCTATTCAGAATAGGTCTGGTTTGAGGTTTTGTTTACCATTGTATTAATTTCTATTGGAACTGTATTAATTAATAACATGTATAGTACTTTTTTAGGCCTTAATATTTTCTTACATTAATTGTATGGATTTCATTATCATCTATTAAAAAATTTTTCTTATAAAATTTAAGTAGTTTAATCCATGATTCCTGACTCTAGTATTTTTAAAGGTTATTCAATCCATTCACGTGTCTGTTGTTGCGCATTGAAACGCAAGTAGCAACGCAACCCGCCACGTAACTTTGTATAACGATCATCACTCATCGTGTGTTTGGGGAGGGGGCGCCTGACAACATCTCGCCCCGGGCGCCAATAAACCACGCAACGGCCCTGCCTGCACATATACGACCGATAATCTTTCTTTTGGTACAACCCGCATGAAATTTGGTCCAGTAGTATGGTCAGGCTAGCTGCCAAGCTTTAAATTTTGGCCCCATGTTAAACCTCTGTAAGAAAAGTTTATTTTTATATTGGTTACTAGAGGTCGCCCCGTGGTTGAAAACTCAATCAATAATATGAAATGGACAGACTTCTCTATTTACCCTCCACACAATAAAACATGTGATTGGAATTTGTTTGGATTTTCTGTTTAGTTATTTATTTATTTTTTGTTATTTTTGTCACCAGTATAGCAACCCATAAGGCTAATGTTATTTTTTTTCAAAATTTCAAATTCATTTTTCCTGCTTATTTTTAGCCTAATTAAATTTATAAAGGGATTCTGCACATCTACAGGAAGATATCTTTCATTTCACGGTGCCAACAGCGTGTAATTTGGTCCAGTAGTATGGCCAGGCTAGCTGTCATAAGTTTTACAAATGTTTTTTAGTATACGAGATGGTGTTTTTGGCCTCAGGGGACATCAAAATGAAAAAGTAAATCGGCCACGGGCCTAGGTCTTACCGTGCCACCTACGGTAATAGCTACTTCCCTATGGGGAAATTCGCTAAAATTTAAGTCCCATTTCTGCAGGTAGAGTGGACTCGTCCTAATCCTGCTTGCCAAAACAATGCTGTTGTTGGGAGCTCGGCGATGCAGACAGGCCGGAATTACCGCCCTCTTCTCGCTGTTTCTAGAAATTCCGCGTCCTACTACAATTTGCATAAATAAGACTTGGAGCATCATGTGAAGGCTCATTTTGTTTGTCTGAGAAATAGGAACAAAAACAATTTTGAGTGAACACTCTATAATTTTCTGTTACCGAGTTATCAGGTCTCGATGTATGAACCTGCTCTGGCCGGGCGCATTGGGAAAACCCGTTCCTATGAGTCATTGCTAATACCAGTCAGAAATACCAGTTTCACTCAGTTTGTTTGTGTCTTTCATTAAATGCATATCATGGCGTTGTGGCGCCCGTGGAGTGATATGGTCTTGGTTAAATTTGTTGTTTAAAAGAAAATACAAAAAGCTCTGTGCTGTATACAAAACTGTAATTTGAGAAAATAAATTAATTTGAATTTGAATTTGAATTTGGTAAATGTCGAAGTCGACGACCATCATAGTGATAGTGACAGTGATCGTGAAGTGGTTCAGCCGAAACTAGTAGGGAGCAGAAACCACCTCACAAAGTGGCAACAAGCCACTATTAAGTTTATGGTCAGCTATGCGAAGGATAAAGGAGCAAAAAGTTCAATAGCTGATGCGTGCAAGTTTCTGGGAGTGTCAAGGAAAACGGTGTCTAGGGTAAATGCCAAACTGTTAACTTCACTGAAAAAGAGAGGGCCGACACAGAAGTTTCAACGAGTGGATGACTTTCAATGGAATCTTATTCTCTCCTGTCCTATTAAGAAACGTTAGGAAACAGCAGAATCAGGCTATTATGTTGTATAAGAGACTCCTCAACCTGATAACTTGGAAACGGTAAATCGTAGAGTGTTAACTCAAAATTGTTTTTATTCCTCTTTCTCAGACGAACAAAATGAGCCTTCGCATCATGCTCCAAGTCTTATGGTTCAATTTATGCTAATTGTAGTAGGACGCAGAATTTCTAGGAACAACGAGGAGTGGGCGGTGTCCACGGCCCGTCTGCGTTGCTGAGCTCCCAACAATAGCGTTGTTTTGATAAGCAGGATTAGGACAACCACTTTACCTGCAGACATGGGGCTTTAATTTTGAATATTACTATACAGTGGGTAATGATTGTCTAAAATCACCAAACACTAATACAGGAATCCCACCAAACGACCTCTCCAACTCGTATGGGTCTTATTAGTTAAACAACCTGTTCATGTTTAACATTTAAATTCCTTCAATAGTTAATAATAAGTCATTTTAGACAGTTTGCCTCATCACTTTTTACTGATATACCAATTTATACTAAAGAATCAATCACTGAGATCGGCTTACTTTAAACATTATGTTAAACTTTACAATAAAATAAACGGTATCAACAATTTGACACATACTTTCTCCTATTAGCTTGTCAAAAACCTGTATCATGGGTAAGCAATGAGAGTAAACTATGATATTTAATAGGTAAAATCACAAAAGTTGCATTAACTTTTGAACCGTAATTTTTACAGGAATGGGGGTTGCAGGTTGCACTATTTTGTTTAGAATGATAAGGACCACAACAGACAATTTTCAATTAGAACCGGTTTTTTAAATACAATTTTCCGTTTTTATTTTATTTTATTTTTTTACCCTTAGAGCCTATAAAAGGCCATTTTCAGTACAACTATTGTAGAGCTTTAACAAACTGTTGTGTATCAAAGTGTTATTTTAGGTTTAAAGAAAAAAACTTTATATTTCAAACCCTAATTTTTTTTTTTAGAGTAGAAGTAAACTATCATAGATTGCTTGATTATGAATATAGTTTAATTTTGATCAAATGTGGCTCATTTATTTATTAATACTTTACTATTAACATTTTCCATTTTCATTAAACTGCATTAGACTACAGCATATCGTATTTACTCAGCGTGCAATGATTAAGTCTTTGGAATTACAGTGATGCTTAGACCCAAAGATTACCCGAAATGAGGCCCATAGAATCAAAGGGTATAAGTGACATTTTGTAAAAAAATTAGATAACTGCATGGTTAAACTTGAAATATATCATTCTATTTAGTAGCGAAGGGAGCTAAGTGATAACTCCATCCAATGCTGCTTTCTAGCGGCAAATCACATAAAAGTCCAAGGGAATATGACAAATGTTTGGTGGGGAAGAGATACAAGCGCACTTGTACCCCTAGTCTACTGTGAATGTATTTTCCCTTTCTGTCATACTTTTTAGAAGTAAAAGGGTCCAAGTGCGTCAGAATAACATTGGTATAGGTTACCAATATAGATATTGTCAATAATTTTGAATATTTTTTCTTCTGCGACAAATATACAAAGACTACAACTACCAATCTGGCAAAGAATATAAATGTGAAAAAAATCACTGCAATTACAGTGTAGGCTCAGCTTTGAGCTCAATATACTCAAAACTTACTTTTTGTCACTTATGCCCCTTTCCTTCTAGGGGCCTCATGGTGTTGGAAAAGACTGTATAGTATATATATATATATTATTTTATTTTAGTATATATATATATATATATATTGAAGTAGGGTACTACTAAAAATAGTTCGGATAAAAGGTATAGGAAGTGAATGATACACAAACAAAATGTAACCTGTTGATACATAAAAACTTAATTTGCAAACAATTGATGTTAAAACTACATCGTTATTTAGGTTTCATTAATTTAGAATATCAATAGGCCTATTTCATTAAAGTTATAAAGCTGTTCCAACACACATACATCGAGGTGGTAGAAACTGTCATAATAAGAACAAAACTCTAGGGACATCAAAATAAAAAAGCAAAGTGGTCCCGGGTCTACGTCTTACCATGAGACGTATGGTAATAGTTTTTTCCCCAAATAAGAAATTTGCTAAAAAATAATTTTATAAAAATACCTGGACAGTCTGAGGCATGTCTGTGATGACTCCGTCAGTCAGGATGAGCAGAATGAAGTAGCTAGATCCATCACGGTAGCTGGCAGCAAACCTGGCCACATGGTTGACAACTGGGGCGAAGTTGGTTGGACCATGCAGTTGTACCTGCCTAATACACGCCCGATACGCCTCCAGTACTCCTGTCAACAAGATAAAATGACTCATTACACAACTCCAATACTGCCACATGACTAACTGCTATGATGCATATATGAAATGCCTTTTGCCTGATCGGATTTTCACTGAAATATTTCATTAAACATGTCAGAATTATTCACTATTTAAACAAAATTAGGTTTAATGAGTACTTAGGTTTGCTGCTACAAGGAATATAACTAAGTGTGTTTTTTAGCAAAATGTAGCATGCTATGAAAATGATAAACCATCAAATTTGATAAAAATATTCTTTAAAAGTTTACATATTATTCTCCATAAGAATAAAATAGACATTTTAAATTTACAGTTTTTTAATTTTCTCCTTAGCCAGTTGGTGTACAACAGCGCTTCAGTAATCTGTATACTTATTATTACCTACTTTTTTTTAAGACTTTCAAAATGGTTTGGAATGAAATTGCAACATTTTACTGAATTTCTCTTGATAACATAGGTCTCATGGTAAGACCTGGATCCGGAACCGATTAACTATTTCCAAAAACAACTTCCGTCAAAATTCATATACATACATTTTGATTTTTATATTCACAAAATATGGCTGTTGACATATTAAGGTAGTAAATTAAAAACAACTATGCACCCTGAAATTAATATAACCTATTTTTCTTTGCAGTGAAATGTTTCGGAGTTCATTCTCAAACTTCAATAAATATAGTAAAAATGAAAAATTTAAGTTTTGTTTACAATTTGTAACCCCTTAAGGAAATTCAATGGTTTTATTTTAGTTTAGATTTCTTGCTTTAAAAGTATTTTCTAGAGTATATTCTAGGTCTTTTCTGCGCGACAAGCATCATTGGACCATGGGAACGGGTTTTTATAGGGAAAAATTGGCTTTTCTCATTAAGGTCTCAAAAGATTAAATTTTCCAATTTTTCTCTAGACCATTTTGAAGAGCTTAAAAAACAAATAACTTAGCATAATGAAGTGCTTTTATACGATTGGTGTCCAGAGAAAATAATAAAAAAATTTATATTTGAAATTCCAATGTTATTCGTATGGAGAATAAGTGCTGTAGTTTGCTTGTTTATGGATATATGTTGATCAAACAAAGCAAATTTATTTATTTTACACTAAGCTATTACAGTAGAACCCCGGTTGACCAAAATAAAGGGGGTTGAGAGTTGTTTTGACCGTAGATATAAGGGCTGACTTTATTTTAATATTGCTTTTATTTTACAGCCACCATTTGCTCTGTCCATTTTGAATATCTATATCCCTCACTGACTGACTGACTGACTGGCTGACTGACTGACTCACTCACTCATCACTAATTCTCCCACTTCCCACTTACCTAGGAGGCTGAAATTTGGTACACTGATTCTTTAGGCATTAAATAGGAAAACTAGGTGGTTTTTATTCTGATCGGACTCTCGGGCTCTGCCCCAGTGGCTCTGGAGTTTCCCATGTTAACCTAATGAGTACTCATATTTAAATGAAATTAATGAATCATAACAGCTGTTTCAATTAAACAAGTTGGTTCTGTTCTATGATGTTCAATAGCATTAAAGTTACAAGGATTACCAACAGAGTGCAGCACTATTATTATTTTTTTAATTTTTGACAACAGCTAATTTGAAACCAAAAGGTGAGTGAGCGTAGCGAACGAACTTCAACCTGGATTCGAGGTAGTGTAGCGAACGAGCTAACCTGAAGGCAAATGAGCGCAGCGAACGAGCTCCAACCGTAAAGGTGAGTGAGCGTAGCGAACGAACTTCAACCCGGAGGCGAGGTAGCATAGCGAACGAGCTCCAACCGTAAAGGTGAGTGAGCGTAGCGAACGAACTTCAACCAGGACGTGTGAGCACAGCGAACGAGCTCCAACCTAAAGGTGAGTGAGCGTATGAAGTTAAACGAGGCAAAGCCCGCGGGTACAGCTAGTATAGGTATAAAAAAATCTTTGCAGCAAACACTGCTAGGCTACTCACCAGAAAATCGCCGTTACTTGGTAGATGATGCTGTACCTACATTATTTTTTGCCCTTCACTGCATCCAGAAACTGCATATATAACACTATTATTAGGGGACTGCAGTGCACCGATAAAGTCTAGTTATCGTAGTTTTTAGGGCTATAATTCCATAATTCCAAAATTTAGTAAAAATCCTTTTGCTGGATTTAGGTTCTACGATACTAAAATGCTATGGGAAGGGAGAGAAACATGTCCACGGCGTAGGGAGTAGCTTTGGACGACGTAGGGAGTGGTGAAGGAAGTAGTAAAGGCGAGCAGTGCGGAGAGTGGGAACCGTTTAAGGCAGTTACATTATTGTATCAGTAATACTAAAATGCTATGGGAAGGGAGAGAAACATGTCCACGGCGTAGGGAGTAGCTTTGGACGACGTAGGGAGTGGTGAAGGAAGTAGTAAAGGCGAGCAGTGCGGAGAGTGGGAACCGTTTAAGGCAGTTACATTATTGTATCAGTAATACTAAAATGCTATGGGAAGGGATGGAAACAGATCCCCAACCTAGGAAGTGGTTTTAATGTTTTAAAATTTAAATTAGGGGTTTTAATTTTTTTAATGTCTCCTAACAAATTTTACACCACGAGCAATGCTCGGTCCCCTGGTACTATACATGAAATATATACAATTCAATTGGTTAATCGTGATTTTAGGAGGTTTCCTGTAGACCGATTTTTGGCAACTTTTAGTATGTCACTCTTCAGACCCAACACTACAAAATAAAACTACAAAACGTTTTCTTCCAATTTTTTTTTAACGTTCCCTGTGTCAGTTTTTTTTAGTTTGCTTGGACTAACAGAGATTTGGCAAAATAACAAAAAAATGACGTGTTATTGTAAACAAAATTAATATTTTCGTATCCATAAGTCTTAGAACCAGATTGTTATACATATATTATATGGAATTTAATTTTCTACAACATTGACGTTAGATATATTTCGCTAAAACGCACCAAAACGGAGATAAAAGTACCGATTTTTTCGATTTTTCAATATGGCGGCGGGCGCGGAGGGGGTAGAATTGTGCATTTTTCATTTTAAACACCTACTTACCATCCTAGACAACATATAAAAATTTAGACTCACCGGACCTTTTGTAAGTTAACATACCGTACCTCTATTCACTGGACTAATAGTAGTAACACCAATATAGCTTACAAAGTTGATGAGTGATAGTTCACATAATTTTTAGCACATTTGACGGATAAACCTTTTTTTGAATTTGTCATATTATAAGTGTGTGAAAATTAATACATCTGTGTATCAATATCTACTTATCTCATTTCTGTTCAATGGAAGTTATACAATTTCAATGATACCGGTACTTAAATGGGAAGTCCTACAGCTGTAATAAAACTGTGCATAAATTTATATTACGAGTAAATTTGCTACCAATTGATATTGTACGACAATTAATCTCTATCATTGTACTAGAACCTCGAAGTACATTGAAAACTGTGCACAATTCAAAACTCATATAATAGGCCTACATGTTGTTGGACGATTAATGGTAATTAATTGTCGTGTCAATATCTTCTTTGATATGACCCTAAGTATTTTTAAGGACTTTTAATGAGTTGTATTCATATTGAATGACTTTAAAATACTAACGACCCATGTTTGTTCGCTAATTCAACTGGCTTACTTTAAGTTTTCTTAAGCCTAACATTATTATTTCTGTAAATAATCGTTACGATTGTTTTAAACGTTTAGACTACTGAAGTGAATAGTAGCCTACAGAGAGAAAATAATCAGTTGCAGGCTTACCGCTTGGTTTAGAAAATTCTCTTTCTTTTATTCTGGTAGGCGGGAAAACTCCGTAGGCCTAGGCGATCCAAGGCTTAAGTTGCATTAGTTACTTTTAACTAAGATTATAGAATCTTCATTTCCTACCATAGACTACACGGTATTATAATTGATAAACTAATTACTTAAGCAAACCATTTATTCTATTTATTTTACTAGTATGCTATAAATAAGCTGCGTGATGTTGTACATCCAGTAATCCAGTGTGCTGCTGGGAGCTCCGGCCTGTTTACATTAAAAATACCCAGCTAGTTTAATCCACAAAAAAATAAAAAAAAATAAAAAATCAGTGTCTTCTTATTGTTTCCATTAATACAAATCAATAATTAATTCATAAGCCTAAACAGCGACTCAATCTTTTTAGTAGTTTACACGTGTTTGTCATGATAGCTGACAAACTTCAACACTTTTCCAATAATCAGTTTTTTTTTTTTTATTAGAAGTAAACTTTATTTTATAGTTACGGCCCATTAAACGTGTTTATATACAGCTACGTCATAATACTTTATCTATTTATTGATTTTATATACATTATATTGCTCATTCAGTTCATCGAGTTTTGGCAATGAACAACATAAAGATTTTGGGCGACTATTTTAATAATTCTAATAATTTATTCTAATCTTTCTAAGCGGAAATATATGTGTAAGGCATGATATGTGTCAAAACTGATTAAAATATATTGCTAATTTAGTGGTAATTACGTGCCATCGGCTGGACCGGGGCCGATGTCACAGGGAATTACGTGTGGAGGTTAACCCGTCGGCTGGACCGGGGTGGTTGCTACAGAGAATTAAGTTTGAGGGTAAGCCTTCGGCTGGACCGGGGGGAGTTGCCACAACGACTCTCCCCCACTCCACTCAGATAGAGAGAGGGGTGGTTGGCCGTGACGTCACAGTTCGGAAGTCTGTGTCGTCGGGAGTCTGCGTCGTCGGGAGCCCGTGGCGCGTTCCCCTTATTATTACCTACTTTTTTTAAAGACTTTCAAAATGGTTTGGAATGAAATTGCAACATTTTACTGAATTTCTCTCGATAACATAGGTCGGTAAGACCTGGATCCGGAACCGATTAACTATTTCCAAAAACAACTTCCGTCAAAATTCATATACATACATTTTGATTTTTATGTTCACAAAATATGGCTGTTGACATATTAAGGTAGTAAATTAAAAACAACTATGCACCCTGAAATTAATATAACCTA